TCCTTCTCCTCCTCCTCCTCCTGGCCGCGGGTGGTGGCGCCCCTCCGCGGCTCCGGAGGACGGCACCGTGGCGCGGGGGGCGCTGCCGGAGTGGTCGAGCAGCAGCAGCTGCCTCTCGGTCCTCGGGGCCGTCGCGTCGCTCTTGTGCGCCCCGGTGGCCGGGAGGGGTGCTCAACAAGGAGAAGTAAGCAGCAAGAAGTCAACAAGGAACAGTAAGCAGCCTCCTCCTCCTCCTCCTCCTCCCCCTCCTCCTCCTCCTCCTCCTCCTCCCTCCTCCTCCTCATCCTCCTCCTCCTCCGCCTCCTCCTCCTCCTCCTCCTCCTCCTCCTCCTCCTCCTCCCAAGAAGCAGAACTGTAACAGTGGAAACTGGAAGCTGCCACTGGCACAGGAAAGTGCGAACCTCCGGCCTACAGCCTGGTGGCCCCACAGGGGGGCCAGCGGATTCCCTGATGAATCAAATTTTCGGCTGTAGGCGTAAGAGTGACCTTTCGCCCCCAAAGTTTCGGGGGTGGACAGACCTCCTACCCTGACGCGTCGATTTGAGGAATCGGCCGTTCTCGTTCTGCGAGAGGGCGTCGCGGCCGTCATTTTGCGGGTCCAGGTCCGTCGGTTTCGGTCCCAGGCCGTTTTCACTAAGGGGAGGCCTACTACAGGGAGGTTTGTCCACCGCCGAGGTGCGAAAGCGGCGGGGGGGGGGGCCAGCAGGACGTCCCCCGAGATCTCGGCGAGGCGAGAGAGGTTCTCGGCCGGTTTCGCTGGTTCCTGGACGTCGTCTCGCCTCGGGAGGCCCTCCAGCAGCTGCGCCTCGCCGAGAGCGCGGATCCCCCCCAAACGGACGCCGGAGGCCCGAGTGACGGTCTGAAGCCAGGCTTGGAGGCGAACCTTGAGATTTGGGCGCTGCAATTTTTGCACGCCAGGTGTTCAACACCCGGCGTGAAAAACTGTCCGCGGACAAATGTTCGTGCTCTGAAATTCCAGGGAGTTCTTTTCATACGTGGCTTGCGTGAGCGAGATGGTTCTGCCTAGACCACGAGAATGGATTATTATTCCGATGTACTCCCGCGCGGGAACTTTCCATGCTCTGCTTAATGAAGTGGGCCCCAGGGCCATCACATATCAATCTGGCTCGAAACGAGTGCCACGAAAAACTGGGGTCTGGGGCTCTGGTCGCGATTTTTCGCGACGCGATGTTGCAAGTGTTTCGCAGCGTCGGATCTCAGAGTCCGCCGGCCTGTTTTTTTCAATCCTGGCGTTTCGCCCCGATCTTGGCCTTCGGGGGTCGTTTCCAGGCCCTGGGGCCGTCAAAAACGCATCCCGGGCCGACGAGCTGCCCCCAGGGAAGTGCATGGTCGGGCTCCCTGGGGCCGCGGATCCGCGGCCCCAGGGCGCCCGACCATGCACTCCATTTTCAATCCGCTCCCGATGAGAGCCTGTATTGATTTTTTTTCGAGTGCTTGATTTTTTCAAGGCGCCTCAGCGCGCCTTGAAAAAGACATGCCCCAGGATGTCTGCGGAGAGGAACAACCACACCGCCGGAGGTGTGGGTGGCTGACGCTGGGCCCAGATTTTTCCAGGAGGGAAAGAAACACACAGACACAATTCATCGTGCATTCCCCAGAAAATATGGGAAAATATGGGAAGTGGGGGAAGACAAAAACCCAGAAAATATGGGAAAATATGGGGGACACTTTTATTTGTGTGCATTTATTTGTGTGTCCCAGGGCCCCTTCATTTTGGGCGCCGTGGACAACCAAGACCCGTTGCCTCTTCCGCAGCCGGGCTCGCCTGCGTGGTGGCTCCCTCTCGGTCCTGCGGAGGGGGGCGCTGTCTGAGAGGGGAGCACGCTCGGTTCGCCCGGATCTCGCTCCGCTCCCAGACCCCCTCGAGTTATCAAAAAATCACGACGGGACGTTTTTCATTATTGTTGGCCTTTGGGGGCCCTTACCGGCCCTCGGGACCGTCAAAAAACGACTCAGGACGAAAAACCGGTCCCGGGGAATGGGTCGAGACCTCGGGGGGTCGACGTCATGAAAAAATCATGACGTCGGGGGTCTGGGCTGGTGCTCGTTCCGCTGGGGTCTGGTTCGCCAGGGCTCAGGGCTCACTTCGCGTGGGCTCGCTTCGCCCGCGTCTCGCTCCGCTGGGCGGATCGGGCGGGCGAGACTCTAATCAACGGGCGGGTCGAGCGGGCGGAACTAACTGACGGTTCGGGCGGGCGGGACCTTGGCGGGCGTGTCGGGCATGTGTGACATTCAAGGTCGCGGGGAGGCGAGCCAGGCGAAGCGGGTCTTGGGCAGAACGAGGGCCGGGCGAGGCGAGGCCCCGACGGTGAACCCGAGCCTGGGCCGACCGAGCCTGGGGCGAACCGAGCCAGGCGAGCCGAGACCCAGGCGGACCACGTTCTCTTCCTCTTCCTCCTCCTCTTCCTCCTCCTCCTCCCTCCTCCTCCTCCTCCTCCCTCCTCCTCCTCCTCCTCCCTCCTCCTCCTCCTCCTCCTCCTCCTCCTCCGACTATTTTGCTCAGCGTGTCGCTCTGCCGGTTCTGGCTCACCGCGCTGCGGCGCGACGCGCCAGCCGCTTCCCAATTCCCAGGCGTCAGCGTCCCGAGCCGTTGACCCCCGCCCCGCGGAGCGGAGCGACACGCTACCAGTCGGGGCCCTGAAGAAGGAACCCTCTTCGTTGGGGAGGGGCTCCGCGCTCCTGAAGTGTTTCGCAGCTTGCCCCAGGTTTTCCTCAGGTGTTCGATGGGACATCGAAGTTCAACTTATGGTAAAAAGGGGCCTCGTTCCTTATTTAGGGTTCCTTATTTGGGGTTCCTTATGTCCTCGTCTCTTTCAACTTATGGGAACCTTTCAACTATTTAGGGTTTCTTTTTTAAGGTTCCTTACTTAGGGTTCCTTATTTCTGGGTTCCTTTCAACCTTTTCCTCGTTATTTAGGGTTCCTTTCAACTTATGGAAAAAAGGGGCCTCGTTCCTTATTTGGGGTTCCTTATGTCAACGCCCCGACTGTATCAGTCGCGGGACCGCCGCCGCGGCACGCTGAGCAAAAGTCCCCGACAGTGGTATACGGCAGGTCCGGAGCCAGGAGGGAGGGCGAATTCTGTCAGAGCGCCGAATCATCAGGGGTAACTCGGGTCAGGGATAACTCCGGTTCCTTTTTCGGGAATCCGAACCCGACTTACACCGGACCCGACTTACCCCGGATAGTTCGGGCGTCCAGAGCCCCGAATCATCATCAGGGGTAACTCGGGTCAGGGCTAACTCGGGTTCCTTTCTCGGGAATCCAAACCCGAGTTACCCCGGACCCGAGTTACCCCGGATAACTCGGGCGCCCAATTCTGCTGGTCGAGGGATGCCTCCCGGAGGGTTCTTTCTGTTGCCCCCCCCCCCCCCTGTGCCAGGTTTAGGTCGGGCTTGTCCCCCTACGGGGGGGATTTTCAACGAAAAATAAAACATGCCCCAAAAATGCCCCCAAAAGGCCCCAAAAAATTCCAAAAATAGTCCCCAGATCATTTTTGTATTATTTTTGGTATTTGGGGGGTATTTTGCATTTTTCGTCGAAAAAAATGCCCCTGTATGGGGGACAGGCCCGACATACTGCCAGGTGCCCTCCGCCGCCGCGCGCCCCGACCTCGCGGCCCGGATGGCGGCGGACCCCGTCGCCTTTGCGCAGGAGCCGGCCGCGTGCGCAGCAGGGCGGGCCTCGGACTGGGGCGGGTCCAGGACGGGCCTCATGCCTGCCAGGAGGGGAAATAAAACGGCGCGAAGATCGGGACAAAATCGGATCGGGATAACTCGAAATCTCTGAGAATCGGCGGGTTTGGAGGATGTATTGGGCGCCGCGGCCGCTCCAGAGCGTTCCGGGACGCTCTGAGAGCGCTCCGGAACGCTCTGGAGCGATTTATCCCGATCTTGGTCTTGTTTTGGGAAAAACACACGGACACAATTCATCGTCGATTCCTTCGAAAATATTGGAAAATATGGGAAGTGGGGGGGGGGAGACAAAAACCCAGAAAATATTAGAAAATAAGGGGAATCCTGCGATTTGTGTCAATTGATTTGCGTGTCCCAGGGCCCCTTCAGCCTGCCACGTGCACCAAATGGAGATTCCAGGTCCGCCGTTCTATTTTGCCGTACTTTGGGGGTCCTGGGGGCGAACGAGGTGGCTTCGGGCCTGCTGCGCAATCCGAGGGGCTTCTTGGGTCCCTCTCGGGGTCCTGGGGGCCCTGGGCCGTTTCGGGCCCGGCCCTCTTCAGGGGTCTCAAACAAGGAGGCTCCCCCCTCCCCTCGCCTCCCCCGACTCTGGATCCGCCGCGCTTTGGCTGATTTTCTGACTTACGCTTGTGTCGGAAACGCGCCGCGTAATTAGGATGCGAAAAAGTAGGGCGGCCATCAGAACAAACATGTTGGGCGGATATTTCCGCAAAGGGACTAACGGCGGAAACAGCGACGGGAAAGTAGGGCGGAAGTCGGCATCAAAGGAGCTTGGAAAGCAGGGCGGGAAGCTACGCCCAGTCGAGACACCGGTCGAAGTATCCTCCAGGGGGTCCCGTCCCCTCGCCGCCACGCCTGGACACAGCGCGGAACATCTGTGCGTTGGCACCCCCGTCGGGGCCGATTTTGTGTGTTGCTTTGCCGCTGTCTCGGCTCGCCCCGCTCCGAGGGCGGAGCCCCGGAGCCAGAGTGGCCAGCTGGCTCGGGCCTGCAGCTGTGGAGGACGAGCAATGGAGAGGAAGCGTGCTGCCACAGAATTGCCAGACGTCTAAAAACAGCTTCAAAACTGTTTGATATATATACATATATATATATGTAAAATCATGTCTGAAACACTTTCAGAACATGTCTTACACATGGAGAGGAAGCGTGCTGCCACAGAATTGCCAGATGTCTAAAAACAGCTTCAACACTGGTTTAAAGATGTAAAGAAAAACATGTTTGAAGCACTTTCAGAACATGTCTTACACATGTTAAACACATCTGTAATTCAATGATCGGATTGTTCGAGTGTCCACTGTCATGGCATCATCAAGCCTACATGGATCGCTTCACGAACCTGGGCAAGTCAACTTTTCACGCCAGGCAATTTCTCTACCTCCCAGACCCCGGGACCACCACGGTCCGATCTTGCTCGAAAGTTGCCACAGATCTTGCTCGAAAGTTGCAACGTGATTTTCCCCGGTGCCCGATTGTTTCCGCAACGTCGGAGCTGGCAAGGCCTCGTCTTCGGGGAATCTCGAAGTCGAGGCCTCTTCCTCCTGCGGCAGGCTTGCGGAAGGCCTGCGGAGGGCGGCGGGGGTGTAGCACGGGGGCGGCTTCGCCAGCGGAGGCTGGCGGATGGCTGGCGGAGGCCGGCGGGAGGCTGCTCCTCCTCCTCCTCCTCCTCCTCCTCCTCCTCCTCCTCCTCCTCCTGCTCCTCCTCCTGTTCCTCCTCCTCCTCCGAGCTCCTCCTCCTCCTCCTCCTCCTCCTCCTCCTCCTCCTCCCACGAACTGTGATTTGTTCTGGACTCAGGGCTTCTGGAACTCGCCGTGGGGTCCCCGCAGCATTGGCCTCCAGGCAGCCGACGATCAGGCCTCCTCAGTCCGCGGCCCCAGGGGTCCCGACCGCTTCCCCCGGAGCGTTTTCTCGGTCCAGGCCCCTCTTTTCGGGTCGGGCGAAAGGGGGGGATTGGGAAAGGGGGGGTTACGAAATTTGCTGCATGCAGCTGGTTTCGGCCTCACCGAGGGGCCAATTCCTCGATACATGGCCGCTCCCGGCGCCGGGAGGCGCCAGGAAAATCAGCTACGTGAGCTGATTATCAAACCCCCCCTCTGCTATCCCCCCCTTTCGCCCGACCCGATCTTTGCTGGCCCAGGAACTGACAACGGCTCACCTGACGCCGACGCTGGGATCGAGAAGGTGCGTTCTCCCGACGTCTGGGCCAGGGCGCTGGGGTTTGCCCCCCTCCCGCGGCCCCCCGCCGGGAGCCAGGCCCAGATGCTCGAAAGCGTACATTTCTGATGTCGCCTTTGCGTTCTGAAGGATGCACGCCTTCAGAATGGAGGTCGGACCTCCAGTAGATGGACAATATATTCGAACCCTCACACATTCGAGGGAGATTCTAAATCACCCCCGCGCCCCCGACATCAATGTTGATCTCAGCAAAGGCGGTGCTTTGGGGTTCGAATATTTCTGTCCACTCACGCCCCCCCCGTCGCCACGCCATCAATATTAAATTCGGGGGTTCGGGGGGGCATCTTGGGCCACAGGGTTCGAATAGAATGTCCATGTACGGTCCGTTTTAAAGTTTTTGCTTAATCGCCAGGGAACGTTCCTTTTCCTTGGGGTCAGGGGCAACGTTAGAGGAGGGATAGGCTCAGGCGGGAACGCCTCGACCCCCTAAACGCCCGTTCACCGCCGATGGGAGCCTGAAAGTCCACCCCTGCCCTAGGAGCGCGCGCTTCTGCTGCCGAGTACCCCTCGCCGATCTGTCGGCGATGTATCGCCGATCCCTGCTTGATCTTTCACCCCCTGAGCTGGTCCCCCCTTCAGGGGGGGTGCACCGGCTCACACGAAGCTCCCTGGGAAGGGCTGGCAGAGGTTCCCAGGGGATCGAAAACTTCAGCTCTGGAGGTCGAACTTCATTCCCCGTTGAAGAACCATTCAGAATGAAGGTAAGGGTAAAGGGCTTCCAGAACTCAGGTCATGGGAGCTGCCAGCAGATCCGACTTGCGAAACAAATACCGCATCGGGAAACATAACGACTGGAGCCCTAGACCCAATCTTTCTGCAGCAGTTTTCGAGTCGGATCGAGCTGTGATGGTCTCCGTGCCCGAACTCAGGCGACAACGCCTCGTTCCCAAAAAAGTCAGCTCCCGGATCTTAGGGTGGTCCCCCTCCTGACTTCGGACCGACCGTTTTCTGGGCGATGTCGTAAGTAGGGCGGGAAGTCCCGCCCTACTGTTCATCAAGCTCCCTTGATGCCGATTTCCGCCCTACTTTGCCGTCGTTGTTTTCGCCCTACTTCTGCGTAAATATCCGCCCTACTTCGCCCGAGGCGGAAAAATCCGCCCTCCTTATTTATCATACTACGGGATGCATGTCGACACAAATTCAAGTTGGAAAATCATTCAAAGTACGGCGGGTCCAGAAGCAGGGCGAACTGGGCGAAAACGCCCAGTGCAAAAAGAGATTGCAGCGCCCAGATCTCAGGGTGGTTCCCCCCTCATCGATCGGGCGTTGCGTAATGGGGCGGCGATCACTGGGGACTGGGGAGGTGACGAAAGGTGCACCTCTTTTGCACCCTAGAGCGGCCCTGAAGGGGCCCCCATGGGGCCCAAAGGAGAGCAAAAGGTGTGCGTTTCTCCCCCCTCCTATCGCCCCCCCATGCAGCAGCGCCCAGACCGATCCTTCTCATGGGGCCGCCCGTCTGCGTTGTGGCCAACAGGAGGCCATGGAGGCCACGGCGCGTGACGCCGCGCCGCCGCCCGCGTGGGCGGCGGAGGCCATGCGCGCGGCGGGGGAAAAAGGCGCCTCCGAGGGCCCCTACGGGACCCAAAGCGTGCAACATATGTAATGCGGTTGGAGGGCGAATTGTGCAACAGCAGCGCCCGAACTAGAACAAACAACAGAGTCCCCCTCCACCCCCGGCCTGAACATTGGCAAGTGCTGCGTTCGAGCTGAGGGGTCCAAGATCTTTCTGGCCCCGCTTCTCCGAGAATACTTGTTCAACAATGAGGCTCGGGGGTGGAGGGGTGTCATGCGAAGTGGTACCTCAACGATTGTTGCAAAGTTGTCTACTCAACGTCGTGTTTTGCCCCAGCCGCTGTCGTCAAGATCATAAACTGTGACCTGCGATTATCGATCCCTCCCTCCCCCTTTTTTCGGCGGAACTATATCGCCTCTCGGCCCTGGAAGTGATATCCCGCCCCTGGATCCCTCCGTGAGAGACCCCACCAAGACCTCAACAGGATCCCAAGGAGGCCCCCATCGGATTCCAATGACAGCCCGAGAGGGTTGCAACATGAAGCCAGGAAGGTCCCAATCGCATTCCAGTCGGATTCTGCTTGGGTTCAAAGAAGATCCCAGTAGGATCGTCCCAACAGGATTCCACCATGGGACTCCCCCATTGGAGCCCACCAAGGAAGCATCATCCACTATTGTCTTATATTATCTTAACTACAAGCTAACTCCTACCACCGTTGCTCAGACGTTTAGCTCCCTACTGCCCAGATGGGACGGGGGCAGAGGAAACACTTCGGCATACGGGTGCTAAATATCGCTGGTGGTGCGGGTGGTCGAGATATTCACCGTCGTGGTCCACGCCTCATGGGAGCAGAACAACAACTGCATGTCCTATAAGGGGTCGCATCTATCAACTATCGCGTCTTATCTCAATATACAAACTAGTTATCCCCGACCACTGTTGCTCGGACTACTGTTTTACTATTGCTAAGAGGGTCGGGGCGGGCGCATTTCGAAGTTCGGGTGCCAAAGAACGCTGGAGGTCAGGCAGGTGGGCGATATTCCGTGTCGCAGTCTACCCCTCAGGGGAGCAGACAAGCATGCACTTCTTTCTGGGGGGTCGCATATAGAAGCCGCAAGGCGGGGAGGTGGGCAGGCAAACGCACCGGGAAAGCTTGAAGCAGCTCGCGGAGCACTGCTCTGCGCTGCTCCCCAGACCCCCGACGTCATGGTCTTTTCATGACGTCGACCCCCCGAGGTCTCGACCCATTCCCCGGGACCGGTTTTTCGTCCTGCGTCGTTTTTTGACGGTCCCGAGGGCCGGTAAGGGCCCCCAAAGGCCAAAAATACTGAAAAACCTCCCGTCGTGATTTTTTCACGACGCGAGGGGGTCTGGGTCTGCAGTGATCGGCATTGGGGGGCCCTGTTTTGCATGGCACTGGAGTCCTTGGCACTGTAGTTGGCCGTGGTTCACAGCGCCCTGCGCTGCTGGCCACGGCTCCGCGCTGCTCCGCGCTCTGCTGCCCTCGCAAGGGGCGCTGCTGCGGCCCTGCCCGGCCCTGCTCTGCGATGGGTGGGCCTCCTCCTCCTCCTCCTCCTCCTCCTCCTCCTCCTCCTCCTCCTCGTCCTCCTCCTTCTCCTCCTCCTCCTCCTCCTCTTCCTCCTCTTCTGGCTCCTCCAGCTCCTCCAGCTCCTCCTCGTCCTCCTCCTCCTCCTCTTCCTCCTCCTCGTCGTCCCTCTCCTCCTCCTCCTCCTCCTCCTCCTCCTCCTCCTCCTCCTCCTCCCCCTCCTCCTCCTCCTCGTCCTCCTCCTCCTCCTCCACCTCCTCCTCCCCATCCCGGGCCCCGGGGCGGGCGGCACGTGCGCCCCTTGGCCGAGCCGGAGGGAGGGGAGGCGGAGGTGCGGTCGAGGATCGAGGTGCGATCGAGGATCGAGGTGCGATCGAGGATCGAGGATCGAGGAGGTGGAGGTGCGGTCGAGGATCGAGGAGGTGGAGGTGCCGATCGAGGATCCGGGAGGTGGAGGTGCGGTCGAGGATCGAGGTGCGCTCGATGTTCTGTCGATGGTACCCCGTATGTCTTGGTATCGCTCGGACGTGTGCATTTTTTCTCGGCGAGAATTGTCGAGGAGCATCTCGGAGCATCTCGCGAGAGAGTTGCACGCACGAAAGCGAAACATGCACGGGTAATGGACGTCCGAGCGATGGCGAGATACACGGCAAGCGCCGCCTCGGGCGCAGGGTTTGCCGTGGAGTTTGCCGCGGTGCCAGCGTTGTCTATTTCGGCGCGGGGCGCAGAGCTTGCCGTGGGTTTGCCGTGGTGTCGGCGTTGTCCACTTGGGCGCGTCGAGGACAAGCGGCGCAGCGACACACCGTTCTTCCATGGGTTTCCAGCGTGTCCGAGATTTGTTCGGTGTTCTGTAGCACGTCTAGATTGTCTCAGGGCTCCCTCCAGCAGTTGGACTGTCGGCGGGGGCTTTTGCCTCCGAAGAGGCGGTCTTACGTAAGCCCTCAGGCCTCTCTTGGGCTGTCTTACTCTCGTCTTACTCCCACCGCCCCCACTCCCACCGCCCCCCCCCCCGGCATTATTTCATTCAGTAGTTTGTCATGGTGCTAACTATACCGCTAGGGTGTTCCTCCCCCTCGGGAATTAATTTTTAGTGCCACGGGTAACGGGAGGGGGGGGAGAAACTGTGAATCGCAGGCGCGATGCTCTTCCCCCGCCCCCGCGTCCGATCCTCGCCCGCTCACGAACGCCCGAGGGGCCCTTTTGTCGCGGCCCCTCCTCCAACGCCCTGGGCGCGTAGCCAAAGCCGTGATGTGGAGGAGGAGGAGGAGGAGGAAGAGGAGGAGGAGGAGGAGGAGGAGGGATGAGGAGGAGGAGGAGGAGGAGGAGGAGGAGGAGGAGGACGCAGGACGCAGCATAGAAAATGGAGGCATGCGACCACGAAACCACCTCTGAGCTCAATGGAATATGGAAGCACGACTTAAGAGGTAAGCGGTGCTGCGTGCGAGGTCAGACCACCATCCCACGCCACAGAGACCCAACGAATTCAACTAAAGCTTAGCTCCAGTTGCTGGGTGCCGCCGGTCGACGAGCCAGTCCCTGACTCTACCGCGGGCGGGGTTCGGGGGGCGCGAGGGGCAGACATCCCCAAGGGCACCGATTTTGGGAGAACCGAGGACCACACGAGCCCCATAACGAACACAGAAAAAGATATGGCCCCGAACGCTGGACCTTGTGGCCATCACATTCGAAGAGGGTCCCAGTCCCCACCGCCCCGTCGGCAGCAGCAACAGCACCCCCCGCAGCCTCCCCGTCCCCTTGGGCACGCCACCCGAGCCGCTCAACAGCTAGGGCGAGAGCCTGAAGCATGGGCGACGGGTCACACTTGGCCCCTGGCTTCAAAAGCATCTTCACACTGGCAGGGGACCGAGCCACGGCCAGACAAAGCCAACATTGCAACGCGGACGATCCAGGAACTAGGCGGACGGGGTCATGGGCGATAGGGACGAGCACATCGCGCCTCTCCGGCACCGGCTTGGGATGAGGAGGGTTCGAGTCCTGGGCATCAGGACGAGCACAAATCAACTGCACCGCGATCGACAGGAACTCAACTGTACACTTGCACTCTTTGGCAGAACGCTGGAGGGTATCGACCGCGACCTGTGCGACAGCGACGTCCCTAGCTCCGAACTTTGCGAAAAATCGGCCCAAGAATTTCCCATGAATCGGTGGATCTCCTCGGCCGACGCTCCCTCGTCGATCAGTTGCTCTAACGACCAATGCGCGGAAGTTCAGACCATCGACGGCCGTGAACCCGACCGCTCAGACAGCCTAAAAATCTGTTGCCAGATCGACGCGCGGCGCGCGAGACCGCACTTAAGGTCAGAGTCTCAGCGCTGGCCCTCGCGAGCAAAGTTGAGGTGATCACTAATTATCGTGAGGTTAAAAGGGCGCACGCGCATCGCCTCAAGGCCAGCCCACCGCTCGCCCCGAGGCACTGTTTGAAATGGTCCTGGCACCCCGCCGAATTTCGCTCGGAGTGGCCAGCCATCCTCCGTGATCTCAACCACGCTCCAACCGCACCTCGCCGCCTCGGGGCACGCGCCCGCCAACCCGCTGCAGTCGGTGAAAAGGAGCGGGCCCCAGGTGCCTTCCGTGAGACCCCAATGCAGCACAAGAGGATGGGACAGCGGCGGCGGCAGCTTGACAGGGATTTGAGGGAGGCCGTAAAAGAGAGGAACCACATCCCAAACCCCCCAGAGGAGAGATCCCCTGCTGTCGAAGGTCCTGCCTCTGCTGCCACACATCGTCAGGAAACGGAAACTCAGCCTCTTCATCATCCTGCGAGGCAAAGGCAGCGGGGCAGTCATAAAGCTGGTGGCCTAGCGTGCCCCGCTCAGCCCCACAAAACTCATATTTACCTGACGCCCAGAGGCCGGCCTGAGATTTTCGTGCGGGAGGCCACATGCCCCCTGACAGGAGTGCTCGAGCAGACCCTTGGCGAGCACCAGCGGGGAGGGACAATACAGCGATGCCCATCGCTCGAATCTAGATCTCCTCCGTACCGGCAGACTCAGGCCACTGAAAAGGGACCCTGCGCCACCGCCAGCGCTCGACGCCATCTCGGACCAGAGCTCGGACCTCGGACGGCGAAAACTCGTACGTGGACACAGCTTCCCCCTGGTCCGAGACCAGCGCGTGGGGCGCCGCCATGTCCCAGCCCTACGAAGGGCGAGGATCACCGCCGAGATCGGCCCAGAACACATCCTCCAAGATCCTTGCTGGCCGATCTTGTCACGAATAGTCTGCCACGCGACGCGGAGCTGAGAAGCCGATGTCCTACCATCCCACAGCCATGCAGCATAACGGGCCAGCAGCGGGCAAGTCGCATCAAAGGTTGGGTCGTACATTCGATCTTTCTGCGTGCACGTGTAGATCGCCAGTGAGGCAAGACCTTTACGAACACCTACTAGCTCACCAGCAAACGAGCGGAGCTTCATAAGCGTGGAGTCGGTGAGGCCTATGACCCCAGCTCCATGGCTTCCAGACGGCA